GATGTATGGAGTTATGGTGTAGTAATGTATGAGATATGGAGTCTGGGACATAAACCTTTTGAAAACTACACCAATCAAAAAGTACATTTCTATTGCTATAGACTAAGATTATGTAATTACTTTATTTTAGTGTTTGAGGATGCTTGATTCAGGATTTCGTCTTCCTCCTCCTCCTGGTTGCCCCAGGTCTATATATGAGATGATGATACAATGCTGGTATGTATCATTAATTACTGTATTATTAATATTTGTTTGTTTATAGGCATCCAGATACTGGTAGTCGTCCTACATTTGTACAGTTAGTATCAAGACTCTCATTATCTGATGCTAAACTGTTGAGTACAGTATCAAGTGATACTACAGCAATAGGAGGACCACTGGAGACTGGACACCAACTATATACTGAACTACAAAATATGTATCAGTAATTTAATTTTGTTTTCTGCATGTTTGCTCTTGTTATGTACAAGATTTTTGTCAATGTTTTGTAAATTTAATGGTAATCATTGCTCGAAAAATAAAGGGCGTGGCAAGTTTCTGCATTATGCAAAATATAGCAGAAAACAAGATGTTTTGTGCTGGAATAGTCTTGTTGTTCCTTATTTCATTCTCAAAAGGTATAAAACGTGATTTATTTGTTTCTATGGCATGATATATATTTCTTTAGATACTGAGCAATGCACAGAGAGGTTTATGGAGCTACCACTAGTGACATACAGAGCACAGAGAATAGGAATGAATCTACCTGAAAGATATGTGGGTGATGATAGACTCAGGGTCTTTCAAGAATATCAGTTCAATTGTTCATCCACTAATATAACCAGTCTTATATTGGGTATTAATATAAGGGAAGCTACTAATAGTCGTAATCTCTATCCCAGTGTCCAGGTCTTTAGACCTGATGGTAGTCTAGTGACTGGTAGTGAGAGAACTATTTATTATTCTACCTCTAATGTCAGTACTAGTGGAGTGTTTGAATATCCACTCAATCCTCCTATACCAGTAATGAGTGGAGACCTGTTAGCTGTATCACAACCAGAACAAGACAACAGTGTTGTTAGAGTCTACTATATCAGTGGTATAACAGCAATTAGCCAGAGATTTGACTATGGTGCTACAAATGTTAACTTAAATAAAAATCCAACAACTAATCGATTGATATTAGTATATCCAGTAACAGGTAAGACACACACTCACTGTATCATTGAATTATTTTACTATCATTAGATGGATACTGTGTTAATAGTACCAATTCAATCAATGCTTCATTTATTAAAGAGAAAGCACTTGAAGTACAAAGATCACAAGGCTTCTATGGCCAACACCAGTTCATTTATCCATGGATTGTATTCTCATGTAATGGATCAGTTACTAAATGGATCTTTGGAGCTAACAATAATGGAAACACTGCTATTCAATCTGAGCTCCAAATATGGCGTCAACTGGGTCCCAATAATTACACTAAAATAGGATCTAGTTTAGTTAATGCTAATACAATGATTGGTACTAATCTCTATGAGTTTATTCCTCAGACTCCACTGCAGTTCCAGGAAGGAGACATATTTGGTATTTATAGTGATAGAACTGATGGAAATAGATTAGTTTTATATGAACAGAAAGAGAGTGGACCCACTAATCTCCGAGTTGATCCTAGTCTAGACTCTCCTCCATCTATAATATCTCAGTCACTTGCAACAGCTAACAATGACTTTCCATTGGTCACTGTGGAGATAGGTAATTTGACTGACTTTATGCATTAATTTTTTCTTAAATAGATACGAGTATTCAGTTTGCTTTCACGTCAAGTATAATGGAAAATACTCATATCAATTTTATTACTTCTGTAAGTTTTTCTAAATTATGTTTTTGTTCTATTTTATGTTGTTACATTCATTCACAGTCGTATTCTCCTTTTAATTCTCCTTACGTCACATTTTCCTACCATTTCCAAAGTGATTTCTTGACTCAATCCACCTCCATGCTTTCTACATCTTTAACTATTTCTTCTTCTTTGTCAAAGTCATCAGCAACTTCAATAGCCACCAGTGTTGTTAGCAGTACAAGAAACACAAGTATTACTGTTACTAGATCTAGTAGCATGTCCTCAGTATTCACAGCAACACCAATATCTTCAATGACTGATACTTCATTTTCATTATCATCATCAGATAATGTGATACAGAATACTAGCAATGATAATGGATCAATGACAATCATTATTGCTATTGCAGCATCAGCTTTTATATTAATAGTCCTTGGACTGATTGTCATGACATTATTTGTCATTGCTTGTCGGACAAAAAGAAAGAAAAGAGAAAGCTACTCTGTGTCTTCAAAGGAAAATAATGAGTTCCACAATCCAACATATGAAATGAGGTCTATGGTGACATCAAGTCATCAAATACATGCAACAAACCCTATATATGAAAGTAATGATAAATACAGTTATTAGTATGGCTATTATGTTGTTCTCTTTAATAGTCACTAATGAGCTGAAAACTGTAGAAGTGAGTGAAGATTTGTATAATGATGTAGGAGCCATTTATTCTGAAGCAGATAACATAAACTTTGTGAGTATAGTAATGAATAAAATATAATATAGAATAATATCTAATATAATGACATTGAAATGTTTGTTGCAGGAGGCGCAAGGAGATACTACTATTGAAGGCACATATAGTGTAGTAGAGAAAGAGCTTTTTGTTCCAAGTGCTGTGAGTTATCACAACATTAATAACACTTTCTCTTTCAAATGTTTTAGCATGAAAGAAAACAAACATGCTGTTCCACAGACGAAGAGATATATTCATCATTAGCAGATACACAAGTAGATATAACTTCATGTTTACAAAAGCTTATGATAACTTTCACTACATAGAATGTATACTCAATGGTTGAAGGGAACACAATATTCTTTGTTGAAGATCCTATTTACTGGGAGCCAGGGACTGACACTAATGACATATACCAGCAACTGTCTGATAAAAGATACAGAGAAATTCCACGCAAACAAATAAAGTACATTAACACAATAGTACCTATTATAATTATCCATCATATTAGAATAACAGGTCATCTTGGTTCAGGACAGTTTGGTAGTGTTAGTAAAGGTATATGGGAGTCTCCCACTGGTCCAGTAGATGTTGCCATTAAAAC